GCTTTCAGCGAACGAATTGCTGGAACATTGATAGCATATTCCATATTTAATTTGCGCGATCTCAAATAACGTAAATGTCAATGTATTGTCCATATATCGGTTGTATTGTGCGAACTAATTTTCGAGAATACGCACAGTCGAAAGTTTACGAGTGAGAAAGTTTGAAATTTGTACAATGTTCAATAAAGCTCGTAAATTAATTCTACACGGTTAATTTGAGTGCATCCAGAGCGATATCTCTGCGGATTTAGTGCACTGCGCGTCGTTTTCGCGCAAATCAATTCTTGGACTAGAGAGAATTATGCTTTTGATATTAAATTCTAATTTGATGTAGCTTTGTCTATTTATTATTATAACGCTTCAATCAAAAGAAAAAAAATCACGTCGATATTTGTTACACAGAAAGAATTCGATTTTGCTAAAAAATATAAAAATTTATATGTATAAAACTTTTAGGTAGATACACACAGATCCGAAAATATAATTCTGTTCTATCAAAATAATTATAATTATATAGGAAACTCAAGCATAATGAGTAACACTATAAAAAGTTTGATGTTTTGGCAACCAGTTGAACGTCCTACATAATTATTTTAATATTTCAATAAAATTATTTTCAGATCTGTATATCTAACAAAATTTTTTAAATTACATTAGCAAAATCGTTCTTTTTATTTACATGAATTATTTATCTACATATTAAATAAAATATAACTTTTTATTATGACAAACGTCAAAATGTGTTAAGTACCGTACTTTATTAATAAATTTATTAACATTTCTTTGCTGTGAGAGTATATTATAATAATAGTTTCGTTAGCAAGTCAGCACTGTAGAATTACACAATTGTTACAATGTACAACTTTGTGGAGAAGAGATCTTATTCGATTACGACGTTGCTTTCGATTTTCGAGAGTGTTTCTGACTATAGGAATCACTTAATACGACTTCGGATCTGAAATCACACAGTGCGGGTCATTCGAGAGACGTTCACGGAATGAAGTGCATGTCCAGCCGAAGGACCTGACCCAATTGCGTCTCATCGAGAACGTACACGTACATCGCGACAACCGTAGCTCGGCATTCGGGATTAGGAGCACCTACATCTTCCGGTTTTCGGACTGGAACACGAGACACCCGAGTGGCCCGCGCTTTGTTCCATTTCTCGAAATTCACGTTCTATTATCAAGCTTCTATGAGTGCTCGAGAAGGACCCCGGAAGGTCCGACTGTATGGGACAGCAGTAAGATAGACGATTTGCGTACGTGAGACAGCAATTGTTGAGAAGAGAAAGGGACAATATAAATGCAACTTGTGCAAAGCATAAATATCTGTGAAATGCAATAACTGCTGCACTCTCTCTCTCTCTCTCTGAGACATTTAATTTAATAGAAAAATCTAATTTAGATTAATTCATAAAAAAGAATATAAATCTATTACTTTCCTAAAAGAAACTACAATAAATTTTTCAGTGCTTTCTAAAAGTAAATCAGTGTATTATTACTGAAAAACATTCGTTGATAATTATATTATTTATAAGTGTAACACTGATTCACTTTTAAACAGTGTGTATACAGGATTTTTCCGAGGTTTTAATCGGCGAATTGCGCAATATGTTCTACAGATAAAAGTAAGAAGAATGTCATATAAACATAGGTCCACAGAAGCTTTAAAAATTATAATAAAAAATAAAATCTGTCTTAAATAAAAGAAATCCGTTTTTATAATTAACGATATAATAAAGTTGATTAATCCTTTGACAATTTTTGGCAATCTGGATTTTTTTTGGCATAAAAGAAATTTCACTCTTATATTTCAATTTTTATTATAACCAAAAATTTAATATTCGAATTAAAAATTACATATGGTAGAGATGTTGAAAAGTTTTCACATTTTTTGAAAGTTTCGAACAATCCAAAAAATGTGGTTAAAAAATTCAGATTATAGACGGAGGGAGTAAAAATATGATTACAGACGGAAAGTTTAACGTTTGTCGAATTAATTCATCCTCTTCCCCTGATTATCAGTTTTATGAAGCACATACATGTGATACAGGAGATTAATTATTGCTTTCATTAAGAATTCTACTAATGAAACAACGTTCATAAGAAGAAATATTTTTAATTCCCCTAATAATACAAGTAATTGTCCGGTGTAATTTCTTGGGCTCCGAGATCGCCAGATGTTATCACTAGATGTTATCACTAGATTATATATTTTTTTATTATAACTTTTTAATAAAGCTTCTAAACATCTATATTTACTGTATATAATATTTTTCCCTATAAAATGTGCTGGCGCAGTTTAGCCGTTAAAACTTTTTATAATAATATAATTTTTCATAATCAGTAATCAACTATTTGTTTTTTGAAGGATGTGATAAACGTGATACGGAACAACACAAGGAACCTGCATAGTGCATCCTACATAGTGCAACTCGGAAAGTTACATTAATTATAACTTAACGAGCATGAACTACACACGTATTACACGACCGCGCATGTAACATGTGTCGTTTGTCATATTTCCACCAACTCCGTCCTGCTACGGTCCGGTGTGGTATTAATTCAGCGTCATGCGTTGCGTAAACTATGAAAACCGGCTATTTCAATCTCATTCGTAAATGTTAAATTCTCGCGAAAGAGTGTACACAAATTAGCAAACAAAATTTCACGACAAAATACTCATTTAAATATGTTATCACTCTAATTACCTACTAAAAATCTAGAGTATACATTTTTAATTACAGATTTAACATGCAAACATATTATTCTCGTCCATCGTCGATATCGATCTGCCATAGTTTTACTTTCAATAACACGAAAACAATTCAACACAGTATGAAATTTAAAGCTCATCTGCCAGACGATTGTTTGAATATCTTCAGTTCAACTGTTCTTCAGCGATATTTCTCGCCTCGACTTTTAAGGAGCGTCGCAAATGGCCCGCAAAATTTCCCGAGGATTCCGCTGAGAAGTAATACTAAAATTTCGCAGGATTTTCTACGATAAAGCCGATCAAGCACCAATATTTTTCCCTGTAGAAGGATTTGCGCGGTACGATTCGTGTGGGCGGCGCTGTTTCTTCCGGTCGTTGCAGTTTCTCAGAGCGCAGTGCGGAAAACGAAAGAAACGTGAACGATCTGAGCCGTGCAGGCAAGAGTAACGGTATTTTTCGCTCTCAGCTTACCAGCCGTTTCCTCGCTAACAAGTGGACTTAAAGTGTGGGCTCCTACATTTTTTATATGCGTTTAACGCAGCGCTTTTAGCTTCTAACGGATGGTGGTCATTTAGAACACTCTTATTGTTTGAAAGTGTAATATGAGAATTATGCAGATTTATATTTTACACATTACAAGTAATGTAGGAGTTTAATCGCGCTCCAGACTTCTCTAAAAATGCAAAAGGACCGACAATATTTTTTTAAGGCTTTAATTTTTACGAGAAAATTAATCTTAAACGTTTTCTTAATTTATAAGATGTACGTACATTTTTGCCAAGAATAAAACGCGGAATTATTAAAAAACTTTCTTACTTCTGCGAGTAAAATTATTATTAGATAATTCAATCTATGTTGTCGAATACATATACGTGAGTACTAATAGTAATTGATTTACAAACTTATTTTTGCACAAGTTATTTTTAGATACGGCGACAGGACTGGCGTTGAAAATTTAGCGGAAATGTATTTTCTCTCAAGAAAGATAGCAATAAGGGAAGTATATACGGACGTATATTTTTCGTTCGTGCCACCACCACTCGTACATAGTAAGCACACACATCCACTTCGTTGATATGTACGGTCGCGCGAGTTTTGCGTATTCCGGAACGGGAACAAAAGCTACTAGAATAAGCTTGTATGATGCTCGGCGCGTCGTAAGCCAGCTCCGACTTGGCCGCTGTGGCACACTGGAGCCCGAGAACGAGAGGGTTGGGGTTGAAGAGCCTTGTCGAAAAATTGTAAGAACTTTTCCAGAGCTTGTCGAAGGCCTTTCCCGCCCGCCACGAAGTTTGTCCGTGAACGTGGTCGGAGTGGACGAGCTCGTGTATGGCGGGGTTTTAGGGATGCCAGAGGGCTTTCTGAAAACAGTAATTTTTCTCCCCAACCCTCCAAGTTCTCGTAGTTCCGTCGGCATTACTCGTGACTTCTCAGCTCCTCCTTCTACCCATAGTCGAGAGGGACTTGAGAACCCAGTCCTATCGTCTCGTAAGAGCGGAAGTATGATAAATTGAAACGACCATCGACGAGAGCGATTTTCAATCATATCGGTCCGCGCTGTCCGCTCTTACACAAACTACTTACACAAACGAGAAAAATAAAGACGAAGGTTTCACGAATGGTCGTTATTTTGCAATTGAAAAATTGTAAATTATTGATAAATGTGTTAAAAATATTTTAAGAGTTTTTGCATTTTTGTTTTCAATATATATATAGGCGATCTGTTGTTATAAGAAAAAAGACTCTGTCGAAGAGTGCTTTTTAAACAACATAAAATATCCAATAAATCTTAAGTTGTGTCCTTAGCTCTCCGAAGCTTCACTACAGGAACAAAACATTAGTTAATACTAAATCCGGCTCGATAATTGCTTATAACTTTCATAAAAATGGATATAATATAAAGTTTCTTTTCAATGGAAATGCCTCAAGTGACATAACAATACCAAGCAAATGTACGTTTATATTAATAAAACTTTAAGTTAAAAACAGTGGCAAGTAAAGTATTGAAAAAGCATTGGAAATAATCAAGTGTATCATACTGAAAAGCCACTTAAGAATTTAAGTGTTCACACACACATATGTTTTATTATGTATTCAAAATTACTTGGGCTCTACCGTGAGGTGAGTGCAAGTTTAAAGACGCATGTGACTGTCAGGCTATACAGGCGAGAATACTTTGCCATAAAGTTTACGGTCGCGGCTATAAAGGAGCCCAGGGGTGCAAAAGGCCGTTAAGCGATACGAGCGGACGGAAAGAAAGGCGTCACCAAAAAGCTACTTACGCGGTGCCGTTGTGTCGACCGATGGACACCAGTCGATATATCTGTAGCTCGACCCGCTGTCCAGTATCCGGCACGAATCTGTATGTACACCTCGAGGGCCCTTGAAGATACGGCGACTTTATTTGCCCGAAGCCACGATCCGATTTGCTGAACAGCTGCCTGCTGTCCAACGTTATGTTGCACACTGAAACGGAACAAAATGACGTATAAAAATACGAACTATCGAATAGTGATACGGTCGCATTTTATTTGGATTAACACTGTGTAATCTTATCGATAAACATTCTCTACTGTATTCTTCCGTATAACTTACAAAAAATACAAAAATATTAAAAATATAATTATATTTCAGTCGTATTTTGATTTTAGAATATCGAATTTTTATAGTTTTACACATGAAATCGTCATGATGAAGGAAGATGGTAACAGAAAGTTGGCGCAGAGAAAAATGGAGTGCGGCTAATAACGATTTTTCTTACTCGTACAGTTTCATTGGCGCGACTCCGTGCAACCGTGTTGTTTGGGCGACGACAAGTCGCGACAGCTTGACGCAATATTATGAGGCAATCTGCCATAGTGTGTAATTTGATTCTTAATTGCTTCCTGTAGGATGTTGTACAGGATGTTTCGTGATTGTGATGTGAATACCGTCTTGTAGCATATTTTTTTTTGACATGAGACTATTAGTATTATTCTTTTATGATTCTCTTATATAAAGTGAGTACAAATTTATATTAAAAAAACATAAATCTTAACGAAATTTTAGATTTACTACAAAAATGTAAATCTTAATAAAAATTTTAGATCTACTAGATGTTCTTTTATCGTAATCTTAGTTCTTTATGATAAAAAAAAAATCCAAGTTTCATTATGTACTATTATTTACAAATGCTCAGCTATTGAAAGTAATCAATTTTTATATTTGCTACAAAATTTTTAAGATAAATAAGTGAAGAGAGCCATATTTGGCTTAAGGCGGATTTTTACAATTTCTAATTGAAGCGAACTACGCTGATTATTTGTCGATCATGAAATACAGTTCTAAACTGAAAGTATATATCAGAAAATAAATTGACAAGTAATTTAATATTATTGATGCTAACGAGCATCGTTAAAGATTTTTATTTTAAACAAAATTCTATAAGCTTGCGCAAAAAAAAATTTGTAAACCCTTTTAACTATAACTAAATACACTTACGGGGTTATAGAATATCCTGCGATGTTGAAAGAAATCCGAGAAGAGAAGAATTTGATGGATGGAACGCGAAGGCAATATCGCTCCTCGTAATTAGCGCAAAGAAAGGTTAGATGGATGGAGGATAAGAACTTCGTCAAGAATGATTAGTTATAAGAAAGAAAGATCGAACGGCACGCAGAAGTAATTTCTCCGATACCGATTTATTCCATCGTGCAAAGCGAGCCGCGAACGTTTGACCGGAATCACGCTTTTCTTTACCTATCTCGGTGTCTTTTGAGCATTGCCAAGGGCTCATCCTCTTATACGTTCCTGTTCTCTTTTGCTTCTTCGTTCGTTCTTTGAATCACATTTCCCCGTGCCGTCCTACGGCCGCTCTCCAAAAAAGGACTCGCTCGCCGCGACGCGACGGGACGCGACGCGACGCGACGCGACGCTTTAATTTCCACTTGTTCGCGCGACACGAGCGGCTGCAAACGAGAAGCAGCACGAGGCAAGTGGCTTAATGGCGTGAATCTTGTTTTTAGCGATGGCAAAGACTCAAAGAGATCATCTATGTCTTTTTGACACGACGTAATTATATTTTCTGGTAGAGGAACCGAG